GGCTTTCCAAAAACTTGTAATATATTTTTTAAATGCCAGATCCCAACCACTAGATGGGGAAGGTTCCCCTCTTTACTTCACAACTCTAATCTAATTTCTTTTTCCTAGGCACGGGCAGCAGATGACAGCCATAACTCACTTTCCAACAATGAAGTCATAGATGATGGAGACGAAGGTAATTTATTGCTCTTGAGGAAGACCAATGCCATTTATGATCATTATGGTCACTGTTGTACGGAACAGCTGATTTAATGTCCTGCTGCTTCAGAGAGCCTCAAACAAGATTAATAGAACCTTAAAACCTTGAAAGAGTCTTTTGTTTATCTGCAGTCATGTTATTGGATTTGTTTGATTGATATGTCCAAATTGAGTTCTTTTGTCATACATTTCATTTGTGTCTCTTGTTCAGTGTTAAACTTGGAGAAATGTCTCTCTTCAAATTAATGTCTTTCAGTTGAAAAATTCAACTTTAAAATCATCACTGACCCAGCAGACCTGATGAAATTTGTCCAGCATCTCAAAGAGAGTAACAGGAAGGTCAGTCCAAGATTACTGTGATAGTTTTTTGTACACATCTTGGCGTATGTTTCTTTTTCATCGAGGCGTATGGGTATTCTTGTTCAGTACAGAATTTTTTTCTGTTTTTAGAAAGCACAAAATCAAGCCAAGAGTCGAGGAGAGAAGCCGACAAGCGACAGGGTAACGGAGAAGCTTGGCGAGGAAGAGAAAGATGAAGATGAACACCTGCTACAGGAGTTTGAGGATGAGATCTCCGACATCTCAGTGCCCTCGGATAAGATTGAAGAGATAAAGGAAGAAATGCAGAAGGAGTTTGACAACATCATAAATGAGGTTCCAGACTAGAGACAATAAGACTGATGAATATATATTAAAATGTTACTGGGGCAGATCTGACACAATGAAATACTCTAAGGTAATGTGACGTGAGGCTTTGATGTGACTGACTTTTCTCTGTGTCACAGGCCCAACAGGAATTGGAGACAGAAGGTCTGAAAGGGGAGTTTGATCGCACGCAGGCCACACAGACACTGGAGACGACACTGGACAAGCTGCTTGATCATTTGGAGGAGAAAGACGTTCAGGACCAAGAGCAGCAAACAGCGGGAGTTCAAAGAGCTAGCGACCCAACCAGGGGCAGCCCCAGCCTGGCTCCAGAGCAGCCAGGTAACCAGGCAACCTGCCCCCCTCTGTGGCCACACTCTGTGTCTGCCTCCATCATCCCCATGTTTCATCTGTATGTGCCGTCGATGTTTGCTGTGACATCTTACATCCCAGAATAGACGCACACATGGAGTTGGACTGATGCAAAAATCAGAATTTATGTTATCAGATTGATATTTTGAGTTCTTTTGGTTAGTTAGTGCCCTTTCCTCTGCTGCCATTAATGTATCTGTAGGTGAAATTTGAAATAACTGAAATGTAATGCTTATCAGACAGTGTTTTGGCTCTTACCTCCTCCATCCTGTGGCTCTGCTGATTGGTTTTGAGGTGAACTGTGTTGTTTGTCCCTCTTTTGTCTCGTCACCCCAGACCAAGCGGCTGACGACCATGTTAAGATCAAAATTACTAAGTATAAGACGGGCAGCAGCCCTGATGGGGAGGTCAAAGTTCAGGAGATGGGCGAAGGAGACCCCCAGTGGCAGCACATAAAGGACGTGGTTAAAGAACAGCTAGAGAAAGCAGGACTGAAGGCAGAAGGTATGAGGGGGGGAGTGCCTGAAACACTCACGGCCTTTTCTCTCTTCCATCTTTAGTATTTAGTAGTTCTGAGCTGCTCTTCTCACCTTTGTCAAACAACTTCACCTGTCAGATTTTTTTCCCCCAAGGATTAGCTGTTCAAAAGACTAAATAGTTTGAAGGGTTACCTACATTTTTCATACGGCTGAAGGCTACGAGCAAATAAACACATATTCTTTAACTGAAGAACAAACTGCTTAGCCAAAAGTTGTAGCTGTATATTAGACCAGGGACCCATTAGACTTGTAATTTAAAGATTTAAAGATCATGGTAGCTAAACAAATCTGACAGCAGTAAGCTCAAGCTTATTTTACAAACAAAGGGAAACAAAAGGTGTGTATTCTGTGTGTTCTTTCTTTTTCATCCACTTTTGTGTTTGTACCATTCTTCATTATGATTTGTTGATTTAACATGTGGTGCAGTTTTATTAGTCTGACCTCTGACGAGTTTAATTGGAAGGCCCTTCCTTTTTTCCCTGTTTGTCTTTTCAGGTAAAATTGAGGTGAAGATCTTGACGCGGAAAAATGCGGAGGAAGCAGGTGATCAGTGGCTGACTGAAGAAGATACAAAGTCCTTTAGGGAGCTCCTCATAAATCTCCTGGTAATTCGAGAATAGTGACTTTCTTACTGGGTCTTACTGGGTGTGCCAGCTGCTTTCTGTCAACAGATGAGAGAGTGATATCAGTCTTCCTGTCTGAAGAGAAATAGGGGAATGTAATTGTATTTGTGGCTTACCGCCTCACTGAAACCCTCTTACCTGTAGGAAACCACAAGTAAACCTTTCTGTTTCCTGTTGGCCTTTTCTACACTGTCACATGTGTGCGAGTGTTTGCATTCAGCAAATCAACATGAGGACTGCCACACTTTAGTCTGTGGAAAACAACATTGGTTCAGTTCTGTTTGTAATTTTCGACAACTTAAATCCACAGATCAGAAAGGTTGTGGTTGTTTTTTAATCCTTTGTTTTTCATCTTACAGACTGGAGGCACAGAAGAGGTTTACAAAGAGCAAAAGAGACAGCAGGAGTTGGAGAACAACTATAGGTTTGTATGGGGAGAGTCCAAGGAGGAGTCCCAGTCATCCAGCACCTCTGACTCAGACGACGTGGACATATGAGATCATTCAGTACATTCAGTGCACCTTTTGTGACAATGAACTCCTGTGGAGACCAGCAGGGAGGGGGACTCTGAAGTGCAGCTGCAAATTTGAAAAAGAGCCCACATGATTCAATTACTGCTATTAAACCTGGCAGATAATATCAACTCACCTGTTTGCACATTCAGAAAATGTCTGTGTGTCTTGAATAGGCAATATGTGTCTTTAGTAAGCATCAGTTATATGTTGCACGATGAACCCGCAACATCTCAGCTGTTCTTGTGCAGTTGAATGAAGTTATGCATTTTCCCCTTTTTGATGGGATTCAGTTTTGATAGATGGCTAGAAAAGCTGAGTGATGTACAATATGTACCTTTCTAGAAATATTTCAGTGGGTTTCACTGAATATTTGCATCTCGTTCTGAAGTTGTCAGCAGCACACTGTGTCCACAGTTAAATTATTATTTACCTGTAAATTCGTCTTATACGAAGAAGTCCTTTCCTTTAAGTGACACAGCTGGAGGGAATTGTGCATGCCTCAACAAACTGGATGAGTGTTTGTGCAGGTTGTTCAATTTACTGTTTACTGAAAATTATTATTGCGTCTGGATATGAAAAACAGGACAAATACTTGCATACAATGTGTTTGATGATTCGATTTGTCAGTAAACACAACTTTAGATTACAGTTTGTATACATGCTGTGGCACTTTATATTTTTAGAAAATGTTTTTGTAAACTCATAATTTTAACATTGTTCCACAAAAAAAAAGTAAGTTTCTCTTTGGTTGTCATGTGTTTAAGGGATTCAAAAGAAAAACACTTAAGAGTGTCGGATGATAAATCTCTTAAGTCTGTACTTTTGTTTCTGACAAGAACTTCTCTATGTTTAATTTACTTTAATTTAGCAATGGCAAACAAAGAAATCTACAATGTCAATCAGATTCTGCGTATCAAAATAATGAATCCACACAAAACTTTTCTAAGGATCCTTCAGATGTGTTCTCAAAAGGGCTGAATTTGTAAAGTTTGTGAATATTTGTGTAAACTTGGAGCTCAACATGTACATAATTACTGCGTAAATATGTTTTTGAATTGATTTGTTGTAATTAGCACAAATTAAGTGGGCTTAAGTTACTTGAGTAAATGTGTTAAGATTTGTGACTGTGCAATCTCGTATATGAAACTTAATTTCACTGTGGGACTAAGTCATATACAAACATTTTCAGACACACAATTGGGGCATTTTGTTTTCCAAAGAAGCCAGTGTCCAAAGGCCCAAGATCAAACAGGGCATTAGCATAAAAAAGGTTTTTCTTTACTTAGTAAACTGATTTCGCCCTTTTGTTGTCTGGGGCCTGTATTACAAAATGACATTAGTGAGTTAGCAAGCAGTCTTTAAACTTGAATCAGGTTTTCCATATTCAAAGCTGCCTCATTTTAGTAGCGTCTCTTAAACACATTCAGAGCTTGATAGGAAAATCCAGAGTTAACCGAGCCTGTTGCTAATCAGATAACTTATCTAGGATCACCAATGGTAGGCTTGGTGAAGCCAGGTAACCCGATGAGAGCCAGGCTACGTTGGAGTTTGTGATACAGGCCTCTGGTCTGTCGTGTCACTTGAAGGGAAAAACTACAGTTTTAAAACCTTTAACCTGTCCCTAACAATCACAGGTGTGCCATAACACTCATGTTTCTCTGCAGTAATAGTTTTGATTCTCACACTTAAGCTGCACACATGATTCATAAACCATGACAACTTACAGTAGAAGAATAAAAGACAAGATTGGTTCATTATTAATCTTGAATGTAGCTATATTGCTTTAGTAGGAACACCGTATTGGCTTCATAGCCTGACAAAGGTCCATCTGCGCTGCCTTGTAAATATAAGTCTTTGAGCACTGTTCTTTTGAAATAAAACAACAAATACCATAGGATTCTTCTGGGAATCATCCAGTGATTTATTTTTATATATTCTAATGTTAAACACTGATTATACATTTGTGTTGTCTCCTGCTTCAGATAAACATACTGCCAATATATCTCATATAAACACCGGAAGAGTTTGTGACACAAACAATGAAGCAGCAGGATACGGTTGATTTTTTTAAAAATTGTTTAATATTAGCAAGCGTTAATGACGCTGAAGTTGGCAGTTAAGGGAAAATATTAAGGGAGATTTAACTTACAGTGCCCTAATGCCCCCCCCCCAAAAAAAAACAAAAAACAAAGGGGTGATTTCGCTGTTTTTTTCCACACCTGTTGCACAAAAGTAGGATAAGGGACTAAGCCGGGATATCTTGGTTATCCTGGCTTAATTTATCCGTGATCTGGTTGCACAAAAGCGGGATAGGGGGCAGTAGGATATGTTATGGTATAAGTTACCATGGAGATTTATTCTGTGGAGCTAGCCTGCTCCAGACCAGGCTAAATTCCAGGATCTATTTAATCTCATCCCTTATCTCAGTCAGCAGTCACCACAAACGGAAACCAATAGTTATTCTACTGCCCACTACATTGTTATCACATATAACTAGACCCACTGTCATTGTTTAAACGTTTGTCATCATTAATTTCAATCATTTTGGATAAATTATGATTATAGATGATGTTGCTATCATTAGATAATTTACAGTTTCCCATGGACTATAAGGCTATATATAAAATTAGGGCCACAGAGAAAAAATAAAAATTCACAGACTTCGAGAATAAAGTCATAAATTTACGAGAATAAAGTCATGCAACCCGTTGTTTTAGGAGAGTTGTTAAAATGAGGGCTGTGGAGCATTTCGTGGAATTGTACTTCAGTATAGGTTTCACAAACAAGGAGATACTTAATCTTTTGGCACATCACCACCACATTGTCATAAGTATCAGGACTTTAAAAAGAATATGCAAGAAAATGCAACTTTGCCACAGAAAGAACCAGTCTCATAAATTTGACTTTTTCTTTTCTTCCTCAGTGTGGCCCTAATACTCCGTTGTATAAAATACACATCAAATTGTAACATTATATTCCTTTATTGAATAAGGATAAAGCAAAACAGGTAAACCATCAGCTCCTTTCCAAACTGAAGTCACAGTGACTCTACAATACGGAAAGCACAGAATCAAAGCATATTATACAACACAATGACAAATACACATTCAAAGGTCTGTATAGAATACAGACCGTATGTCTGCACACTGAAATAAATGCAGGACAAATCCATACACATCAAATGAACACACACAAACAGACAAATGAACACACATGAACAGACAAATGGACACGAACAGACAAATGACTCATCATTACAACCTCATAAACAGAGTGACATTCACACAGCCATGATGTAAAAAGTGGTTATTAATAGGGGTTGTGTGGCTCACCTTGTGATAGGCGGTGATAGATTTCAGAGGTCTGAAAGAGCCAGGCCATTTTGCCACAACATTGCTGATCAGACAGCCAGCTGGCAGACCATCTGAAATCATAAGATGACTATTAAACCAATCAATGCACATCACAGGCAATGTACAGTGTTCATCGATTGACAATATCAAAAAGTTATGTTCACCTGAACATTAATGCTGTGAAAGGATTTCCTATTCACAAAATCTGCCTCATGGGCACCTGAGGGGGATTTTATCCTGATGTGTGTGCAGTCCAGTGCACCAATGACATTGGGGAAACCTGTAACACAAAGTAATGAGTATCCTACTATGGCTGTTAACAGTTGTCCTGTAATTTGTAGATTCTCTTACCTGCAATCCTATAAAACTCCTCTTTGATGTCACGGTCTTCTGTGGCCAGGGAAGGAGATGAAGACATCTGACAATACTTTGATAGCCAGACACACACTCCTTATTGTGCGGCAAATTGTGGCCTTGTTCAGCTGTTCTGCATCCCCCACTGAGTACAGGAAGCCTCCACTTGCAAAAAAGCACAAGGCCACACAAACAATTTGCTCCACACTACACACTCCGTGCTGTGTTTAATCCTGGGACCCAGCAGTCTGCACACATACCTGATGCCATCTGCAGAAAACCTTTACCTTTCATATAGATGGTCATCAGGGAAGGCCAGTGGGTCCAACCGGACCCTGAAGACCCTCTCTCGCCTGAAGGCTCTCCTGAGCACAAGTGCTTCCTCGTCATCCACATCTCGCAACAATGGGCACGCCATTGTCAGAGCAGAAAGGAACACACCATTTTGGGCCTTCATATAGGCAATTGGCTCACTTGACTTCACGAGGATTGACCTTTTATTTTTTTATATAAGATGTGTCATCTTTTTGGAGCTGGGGGAGGAAAGGAGAATAATGATTAATACATTTGTGTTACAGTCAGCATACAGTGTGCATTGAAGGCATAACTCACCTCCCGCTCAAGTTTTTTTATTTCAAGGTCCAATTTTCTAATTGTCCTTTTTTTTGTTTCAGACTCCAGTGCAAGGTTTTCCATCTTTTTCTTCTCTTACTGCATGTCTATATCTGCCAGTTGTATTTGGTGCCGGAGGCGATTGGCATACAACTGTCTCAGCTTGTGAGTTCTGTAAACACATGACAATTAGCACAGCAGGAATTTTGCACGATGGAGTGTCCTTCCATTAATACTCACTATGTTGCCAGGCTGGCTTTCCCCCTGTACAGCATCTGGGTCCTGTTACAGAAATTAGATTTTGTGAGGGCTCCAAATGATGACTCCTCACCGTTGTAGACTGAATAGTACTTTCACAGGCTTGACATGATACCTCATGCCTTCTGGAATCCAGAGAGATGGTCTCCTCATCATCATCATCGCCGTCATCTGCTGTTGCTGCTGCACTGGTGCCTTCACCCTATCACATTTAATCAGATTCATATTGATGCTTGTAGACAAGACATGCCAGGCCTACAGTATACTTTTGATGGAGTACTCGCTGGATCTGCATCGTCTGGTGCTTGTGCTGGTGGCTCTAACAGTGAGACAGTGCTGCCAGAAACTGCAAGGCAATAGGCAAACCAAAGTCAGACAGTCCAAATGGATTCAATTCAATATGAATGTGGTTGTGTCCCATGTAGAGATGGAAGAATATACCTTGTATGAAGCTGGTGGCATCTTGGGAGGGACATATGCTTGTCTCTGTCCCCCCAGGGATCCCCTCAAACACGGGCCTGCCTTTATTTAGTTCCAAGGCTATGTCCTCTGCTGGGTGAGGTCAGCTTTTGGTGACCCACCACCCGTGCCTTGTCTGTGGGTTCTCTTTTTCACATCTTAAAAAGTACAGACAAATGTGTGAGCAGGCACCTTCTGGGTACAATATATGCTTGTGCATTGTTAAGTATTAATCAGGGCCCTTACCATTCTGCAGAATGTTCTTGTATTTGATTTTGACTTGCTGCCATTTCCGTTTTGGCCCTGTCATGTTTAATCTACATCACACACACACACACCCACACAACACATACACACACCACACCCACGTAGAGCAAACATGAGAAAATATAAACCTTATTTATCCCGAAAGGAAATTCAATGAAGTCAGTGAGCAAGCGACCTTCGGTCCTTTGAAATGCGCTATATAAATTAAAGTAATTATTATTATTATTATATTATTATTATTATTGTCGTCATCTATTTATCAAAGAGTTATACAGTCTGATGGAGTTACATTTACACAGTTTCACTCATATCTGCAGTCCATTTCAATTAAAAATTCAACTGATTCATAATCAGAGTACAACTGCGTTTTTGGAGATGTGAAATAACTATTTGGATTGTAATTGTGATGTTTCAGCGGAGCGGTGAGTGTGTAATTGTGCGCTACATACACATTCAGGCGGTCAGCAATACTTTGCCAAGCTTTTTCTCTTTGCTTTATCACCGTGGCGGCGGGGTCTATTTGAGGGAGCCGTGAGCGCACACTTATCCAGGATTGGTTTCACCTGGCTTGATGAATCCGTGTCTGCTCATCCTGGTTTGGTCTTTGTGCACCCAATTAAGCCTGGACGCTCTTGTTTTGGATTCATTGAACTCAGCCCAGTCACTTATCCTGGATGTCTTAATCCTACTTTTGTGCAACGGGCCCCAGGTCCTGATTAAAAAGCAGCATACCTAGACTTGTCAAAATAAAAGAGCTGTAACATTAAAACTTGGAGAAACTTGAACAAAACACTGGCAGAAGCAGTGAGACAGATTAAACATGGCCAGTAAGGGGAAAGGTGAGAGAACAACAGTAATTAATATTTATAAGAAGAACTGGAAGATGTTTTCAAAAGATAAAAATATCTTTTCTAATTTTGTTTTGACGTGAGAAAGAAGAGATGTCCATGTCAATCAGGAATTAAATGGAGAGACGGGGACGTATTGCCATATTGTGGCAACACTGTAAATTGGTGAGATTGTTTTTTGTTTGCACTACATCTAAATAAAGTTTTCACAAATTTTAAGCTTTAAGGCTTTAGTTAAAGCTTTTAACTAAATTGAATCTCCTTTAAGAGCCGAATCAGAAGACATATTATTATCGGATTGTAATTAGACATAATAATCACATATAAATACATAATAATAAATATTGTTTGTACTATAGGTTTAAAATGAAAGCGGGGCGGAAGTTATCGATCGGTAACTTCTGATCGATAATCATACTCACATATTGTATTTTAAGAGTTGTTACTAAAAATGTGTGGTTATTGGTCACATTTTGGGTTACGATGTGTGTCCCTATCTTAATAATAATAATAATAAATTAAAGCTGCAAGCAGCGTTGGGCGGGACCTCGCACCCGGCGCTCGTCGTGCCGTCGTAACAAGTGCGGACCGCAACGCGAATACGTCACGTAAATCAGCTCCAAATCAGCTCCGTATCGCCACTCAGCGCTTCCTTCCTGTTGCCAGTATGCTGTGCTTTCACTTTATCTGAATCTTGTCACGTAGACAAGTTCAGGGCGGGACTGTAATACGTAGGCTGATGTTATGAGGACGCGTTCAGGGCGAGATTGTTACAGAATATATGAAGTTTATTGGAAATTGGACATTGCACACTGAAGTTATGAGTACCGCTTAATGGAAAATCACCTGAATTCGACAAGGGGTCAGTGGCACGCAGTTTGACGTACAGTCACAAATAGCTCAATTCTTCATGTACACTTTGTTTTTATAAGACTGTCCAATTTTGAAGTCGATTTGATAAGTCCCCTATTTATCTTGCAATTTAATAAGTGACTTCCAGCAGTTTCACACTATGCTTCACGAACAATACTCCCTAGGAAATATGGTTTGTAGATGTGGCTAGTGGGAGCGGAGGGGTGTTTGTGTTTCATCACTTTGAAAAAAAGACCACAGAATTCAAAATGTCCAACTTTGACGAGACACCAGGGACACGCCCTTCAACGTACAGTCATAAATAGCACAACTTGTAATCAGCAAGATTATTCAAGAGTACTGTCAAGTTTTGAAGCAGATCTGATCAATTCTCAAGGAGTTTGCTTATTCAAATACAGGACCACGGGCTTCAAAATGGCCAACTTTGACGGCAGGCCACGGACACGCCCTTCAACGTACAGTCACAAAATGAAATGCGTTCATTCAGCACCATGTTGTGACTGTACTGCCCAATTTTGAAGAAGATCCGTTAGAACGTGTCAGAGGAAATCATTCAAATAGAAGCCCTGAAATGCCAAAATGACATCACAGTGTGACATTTGTTCTAAATGGCCAACTTTGAGGGCACGCCACGGACACGCCCTTCAACGTACAGTCACAAAATATAATATGTTGATTCAGCGCCATGTTTTGACTGTACTGACCAATTCTGAAGTAGATCCGATAAATTCCCTAGGAGTAGGTTGTTCTAAAACAAGCCCAAAGAGCCAAAATTACCACAAAATGGCTGCCAAAAGTGCACATTTTACATTGAAATAGTTGACTTCCTGTGGGATATGGGATATGGGTCCAAGAGGCTTTTTTGTACGCCCCGGCACATTATACATGCCTATCGAGTTTTGTACATATCGGTGAAACGTGGCGCCGGGGCTGATGTATTATTATCCTGTAGGGGGCGCTACAAGCAGGACAAACACGATTTTTGGTATGTGAGCTTCAGGCACCACTCTACACGTGCCCTGTGAATTTCATATTCATAACTATTACAATCTATGCACAGTGATTTACCCTACCACCAGAGTGCCACCTACTGGCGTGATTTTTTTTCCTTTGTAGGTGAGCCTCAGGGAGCCATGGGGAAGCAGCGTACCAAGTTTCATCTTAATCACACATATCGTTGTAGAGCTATAAACTCCTTCATTTTAAAGAGCGCCACCTTGTGGTGATGACCTGAAATTGTGCACGATGCTTAAGGAAGACATGGGGAACTATGGACCCAAGGTTGGTGTAAATCGGACATACCAATGTGGAGAAATACCCCACTTCCTTTTTTGACGAAAAATCAACAGGAAGTGCTAATTTTATAACTTCCTTATTTTTTAAAATATCAAAAATGTTCAAATTACTTTTGTTGTCAGGACGGTCCACAGATGCAACGTGCAAAGTTTCGTGCGCATCGGACAAAGTGTGTAGGAGGAACACGAAAAAGTGATTTATGGACATTTTGCGCTCTAGAAAAAAAAAATCTAGGCGGAAGTGGGCGTGGCCTATATGGGGAGGTTCAGCTCCATTCACCGAACGCGTGGATATAAGGTTTTTGAATGTGAGACAAACTATGCGGGAGTTATTATTGTATCGAAATTGGCCTACAAATAGCGCCACCTAGTGGCCTTCCTAGTGGCTGACCTGCATGTGACGCATAGAATCTCCAATTTAAATGAGGCTTGACAAATTTGCCAAATAAAATGCGAATATTAGAATTGTTAAGGGGGTGAAAAATGCACTCAAAGTCGCTAAAAATAATAATAATAATAATAATAATAATAAACGAAGGAAAAACAATAGAGACCTTCCAGTTCATACTGGCTCGGTCCCTAATAATAAATATATTCAAACGTCAGTCTGAAACATCATATTTGTTTGTAGGACACGTGTCTGTATCCAGCAACCGCTGCGCTTTTCTTTTGAAATACCTGACCGGAAATAACTGTTTATTTTTTTCTGGACGGAAGGCAGCAGTCAGATAAGTTAGATGTAACGTTGTAGTAGTTTGTGCAGCGTCGTGGGACAGTTTTATATTTGTGTTTCAGTCTGTTTGTTATTTTTATCAAACTGCTCCGTCAACGGTCGTTTCAGTTAGCTCGCTCGCTCAGCTTTAGCTAACTGTAACGTTTCCGTTATTTAACGTTAAGCTCTGTTGACTCGACGGGAAGAGAGAGGGTCGCTAACTTAACGTTAGCACTGAAGTTAACGTTAACGTCAAATAACGGAATAGCCAGTTAGCTAACGCCAGTTGTCCCATCGTCGAGGCCCGGATCCAACGACTAAAGACTGTCTTTATAATTAGTTGTTTTTCTGCCCTGGAGATCATTTAGTTGGCGCTTTGGTGTGCGCCCCTCGATATTTTGTCAGGATAACGGTTAGCAACATTTGAGAGTGGCTAGCTGAGCTAAGTTGTTGCTCAGAGAGAGAGAGGGAGAGGAAAACGCTACGTCGTGGACAAAAGTGGCAACCCTTTCGCTTTTTAAAGTTGATATTTCGCTTTATGATGAAGTAGCTGTGGAGCGGTGCAGCTGCTATGGTGTCTGCGATACTGCTGGTGAGTAAACCACACCTTTAAACGGGGAGTAACCCTGACACTTATCACGATGGACTTACATTAAGCGGTAGTGCCCCTCGCCGTGTTGCCGGGTGTGACTGAAGTTTACAGCTCGCCGCTGAGGCCCCTTGTAGTGAAATTCGGATCCCTGCTGTCTCTCTCCGTCTCTTCTTCAGCACCTGCTAAGTTGAACGACTGACAGTGAGACCCGTGGTCCAGCATGAAGGCCCTCGGATCCAGATTCTCCTTCTATGCCGGTTTCGTCGTGGGAACCTTCACACTGTACGTGTTTCTGCGGCAGGTATGGTTTGAGAGGACCTTGTCAGCACAGCGGGCCACCAGCCTGGACAAACTTCATGACCAGCAACAGCTTGAGGAAGAAACGACCATGTGGAAGAAAGAGAGGTCTGCTCTCTTCAACCTGAAGCACCCTCATCTTACAGGTGCATCTTATGGAAGCTATTTGTCTTTTAAGATCATGGTGTAAACTAATTTAGAGAGATATAGTCTTCAATAATTCTTTAACTGTTTTATGTAGAAATTATTGATATGATAAGATCAAGTTTCAGCTTCCTTGTTTGAGTAACCTTTGCCTTTATAACATTGTGGTGTATCCGTCGCTCTCAGACATTGGGTTTGGCTTTATGATCTGTAGTGTAGATACTAATACAAAACTCAGTATTTGTATTAATTGTGTCTCACGTTAGGGTTATATCTAATAGATTATTTATAGGCAGACTTTTTCCTTCTCATACACCTTGAAAGTACAGGAAGTTGTGAAAGAAACAACAATCCACACTGATAACAAAAGTAGTGCAGCTGATCTTGTGACAATCGATAGACTGATATTTAAGGATGATTTATCTTGGGTGTTTTGTTTTAAAACTAATTGTTTAGTGGTTTAAAGACATTAAGCACAATAAACACAGTACAATCAATGTATAAATAATCAAACAATTACAGCATTAAATGTCCACAAATGACAAAGTAAAAATTAGCACTGTGTTCTTTCACAAATTTGAAAGTGTGTTTCAGACTACGTTAAGGCTTTAGCTAAAGCTTTTACTCAGCACTGTAAGTTAAATCTCCTTTAAATGCAGAATCGGTAGCCAGAATTCTGATTATTACATGATAATCACTTATCAATACATAATGATATAATAATAAATCCACTTTGTACTATAGCTTTAACATGAAAGCTGGGCATCAAAAATGAAACCATTGTTCGTATGAGAAAAATATGTGCTCTGACAGGGTTGATGCAAAGCAAGTGTTAAACTAGTGTTTATTCACAAACTTTAATCTGCTCACCTTGCTTTCTATCATACATATCATACATATCATTATCTCATACATACATACACACACACCCACACCCACACCCACACATAACTTCATTGCTGTAATTCTGCTTCCCACTTAACTTTTAAGATTGAACAAGTCATGTTGTTCCATTGATTTGAGAATCTGATCTGATTGCAACCATAACACTGAGAATAGCAAGAAACCTTACCTTGGTTACTAAGAGTACAAATGTTAACAAGGTAGCAACTGTTATCTTTTCTTTTACAGGAATTTAGTTCAGTGAGTTGATTTCTTAATTGTAATGTAAATAAGAAAACTGGTTTCTGTAATTGTGGGAAGGGAAACCAGTTCACTACAAGTACTTTCCTCGTGGTAACAAGCTTTTTATAGGTACCTGTGCATGAGTGAACGGCTAACAGGCAAAGTAAAAGCTGGATTATTGATGACAGAATAAATGTGACACACCCTTGTAATTAAGATAACTCTATCCAACACCTGACTAAGATTGAAACGAATACTGTAGAAGGCTAAATAAGTTCCATGGCTGAACATTTTATTATTTGTTCAGTTCAAACACTTTTAATCACACACACACTTAAAAATAATACTGATTGATCATCCTCGCTACATATCCAATATCTATGTAGAGAGGTCATTGTGTCATATTTAACAGTGTACACTGAAAACTTATGTAAAATGGGCCATTTAAACAGGGCAGTTTCCCTTGAAGAATTCTTGTTGTTGTACTTTTATAATGTCCCTGTCCATTTATTATGGGATTTTTATTTACATCTGTGGGTGCCTGGAACTGGATTTGTTTTACTACCACTACTGTTATTCATGCTGATTATGAAAAGATACAGTGTAAAATGTGATGTTTAATGTTTGTATCTCCTTACCAGGTGAGGATAGCCGCATGGCTGATGAACTCTACAAAAAAGTGCGCATTCTTTGCTGGGTGATGACTGGACCCAACAACCTGGAGAAGAAGGCTCGGCATGTGAAGTCCACTTGGAGTCGCCACTGCAATATTGTGGTCTTCATGAGCTCTGTTGAGGACCCGGACTTCCCCACGGTGGGCTTAGGCACAAAGGAGGGTCGGGACCAGCTGTACTGGAAAACGATCCGGGCCTTCCATTATGCCTATGAGCATCATGTCCATGAGGCCGATTGGTTCCTCAAGGCAGACGATGACACATATGTAATCGTAGACAACCTGCGATGGGTTCTTGCGAACCACACGCCGGACGAGCCAATTTACTTTGGCCGAAGATTCAAACCCTACACCAAGCAGGGCTACATGAGTGGTGGTGCAGGCTACGTGCTGAGCAGAGAGGCTCTGCGGCGGTTTGTTGAAGGATTTAAAAACAAACTGTGCACGCACACTACCTCTGTAGAGGACCTTGCAATGGGGCAGTGCATGGAGAAGGTTGGGGTGCTGGCAGGTGACTCCAGAGACAGTGTGCAGAGGGAAACATTTCACCCATTTGTGCCCGAGCAGCACCTCACTGCCAAGTTCCCCAAAAGCTTCTGGTATTGGAGCTACTGCTACTACCCCATCTCAGAGGTAAGTTCAGCAGACATTGTGGAATTTCTTTTTACTCTTGTATTTCTGATATGAAGCAACCTCAGCATTGTTCATATTTGAACATAAGAGATGTTTTTGTTTACTTAAAGCTTAACGGTTGAAAACAAGCTACAAGCTTGTTAACAAATTTTTTCTCCTTGTCATTCTCTGTTGCCAAACTCGCAGAGCCATAACAACATTGGAAAATAAACAGTAGTGACAGGTGTGCAAATGTGTTGTCAACAATTTATTCTTAATGAAGTTTGTTTCGTGCACATAAAAAAAATGCAAATTTGACACTTTCACTTGTGTAATGTTGAATAATCACATACTCCGCTTTTCCTCAGGGACCAAACTGCTGCTCGGATGTGTCCGTGTCTTTCCACTATGTAGGTGCTTCACATATGTATTTATTGGAGTACTACACCTATCACCTACGTGCCTTTGGATACAGATACCGTTACCAGCCCCCCACTCCACCAGGCTCCAATATTGAGCAGTTGATTTCCAGAGACACTGCAGAAGGCAAAAAAGAGCTGGCTTCTCAGGAGAAAGGGCAAGGAGAGGGGGATGATTCATCCAGGAATGACAAGAGACAGGATGGAGATCCCCCTCCTGCAGCTGGTGAAGACCCTCCTGCTGCTCCAGCAGGCAAATAACTGTAGGACTGTGTGAGTGTGTGACAGGAACTGATCATTATGTAGGTCAAAGGTGTGATTTGAGTGCTTGCTTTTTCATTCTGTTAATCTTGGCTCATATTTCTACAAAAGCAGAAAAACGGTCCACTTTGATTTTAATTGTTCCCACATAGAAGTGTGTTGCCTGGGGCTTCTCCAACTGAAGGACTTTTACTAGGGTAAACACTGACTGCAAGACTGGTTCTAAGGTTAATAGGTGAGTTATGACCAACCTTTTTTTTTTTTGGTGTGTCTTCTTTAGAAGTTGGGAACAGCTTTCAGTAAGCTGCATTCATTTAAACTATGCTTTGAACTAAAGCACCTTTTTAATCCATATCAACCTAGAATGGGAACCAGGTATTATCCAGAGCCAGTGAAATTGGAGTTTGCGATGTTATATTCCTTTTCTTGACTATTGCAAGCCCACCAAAAGTTGATCTACCGCTTTCTACATAAGCCAGTTGTGCTTGATCTGTTAGACCTGTTGGACTTCATTTCACACATAGATAGACGTAGATAACTGGAGGCCAGTGAAACCCAATAATGCTTCCTGGACTTCCTGGAGCTTTTAGCTGAAAAAGAAGCACTAATAATAATAATAATAATAATATCATTAGGTTTGCGGTCTTCCAAACTTGATTCAGGCTGCATTTAAAATCATTTTCTCAATACAGACAAATGTTATGTACCTCCATGTTCTGTGTAGGAATTAACTCATTTATATTTAGCTTTAGGGATCGAACGGTTAAACTCAGTGAAACCTCTCAGTTGGCTTGGATATAGTGTGGAGTGCAGCGATCAGTCAGTCTAGAGTAGCCAACAGACAGAGGCCCCACCGGTATCGTTTCTGCTCTATAACAATGACGGAGTAAAGTGGTGGATAAAACGACGATTGTGTGAAAACACTGTGCAACGTGTGTGGCTTGTGCTGGCGGTAATACTTTCAATATAGTGAACCATTGTGTTTGCTGACAGTGCACAGAGAAGAGTCTGGTAGTGAAGAGAAACTCCTTCTCCCTGCAGCATTTGAGGAACCTCGCCATGCAGATTCAGACATTATGGCAAATCCATAACTAAAACACTGGGAGGGGGTATAGTGAAAGCTATGCATCTCTGTTGTGGAGGATGCAGGATTTCAGCATATGATCAGTAATGTGGCGATTTCTTTTTATAAAAGTAACAAAGCATAATATTTTGTTTGCACTAATTAGAAAAGCTTTTAATTAAGATTTGACAATGAATAAGTGTTTACGTTCTTTAAATTATTGGCCAGAATATTCAGCAAAGTAAATGTGATTCTAGTTTCAGCCAGGATCTTGCAGCCTTAATCAAGTGTTAGTGGAGTGGAAAAGGCAAATATACCAATATCCTTCTCAGATCATCACGATTAAAAAAACAAACCAGACATAAAATTACATTCAGGATGTAGCTTCCTGGCCATGAAATTTGGATCCGTATCTGATGGATCCTCCCTCTACACACACCTGTAACTGAGTTCGACAAATATCTTTATTTGTTTTGGCACATGCCTATCTGTACGTGTATTTCCTGAAGCTGACACTGGATACATACAGTTCCCATCATTGTTCCCCAGTGGACCCACTAGCTTGTGCCTTGTAAACTGAGATTGTATGAGCCATCAGCTGCACACATGACTTTGCACTGTGATGTTACCATGATGAGAGTGATGCTTTCAGATGGAGTCTAAATTTATTGAATCCCTCCAATGTATTTAGTATGGCCTTTGAGTAAGCCAGTGGATGACTTGTTCATGACTAGAATTTCATTTTCTACAATGTTGTTTAGTTTTTAAATGCTTCGTGGGCCAGAGTCTTTCTTTTGTAACTAGTGAATTGTGGATATTTAAAAATATTCATAACAGTTCTGTTATTACTTTGTAACCAACAAAGAATTAATTTTGTTGGAGTTACAGTTGTTACCAAATACAAACAAGTGGCTTCAGGAATGAGGCAAGATTCACTGATGATTCAAACAAATTGATGTGATCTTAGAAGTGCTGTTTTTATTTTGAACCACTTAATTGTTTTATTCAAATGTATGAGGTAACCCATGCCTATCAAAAATGTGCAAGTGTTTACACTCAGTTTCCTTCTGTAAATGAGCACAGAGCATGCTCCGTTTGTTTTGTCTTCTATTAAAAATGGAAAAGTCCAGTTTAAACCAAATCTGCATGTTTTACATAATGGTTTCTTTTGTAATTAATAATGTGAAATCTTCGCATTAGTGAATTACCAGTCTTTCATGCAGATTCTTACTATCAGTTGATCGAAGTCCTGAGGGCCCAAACACTTTGTTGATAACCAGTGATCACACATCAAGTCCTTGACAATCTCCTCCCAACTTTCAAATTTTATCAAAGGGAAAGGTGTACAGAACTGTATTTATATTTGAAATGTATTTATGTTGGTATTGATGTCTAAATTGAGTCGATACGCTTTAGTGTGTAAATGAGTTTGTGAGAGTGTGTGAGCACACGTGATCAGTGTGCAGGATCGTTTTCAGTGAATGGTACTTTAATCACTATAAATAAATGCATATTTTATTGTACATTTGTTTACATTTGTTTGCATTCAAGTCAGAACATTTTCCAGAGACCGTAGTAGGCATTCATGCATGGTTAATATGGCTTTTCCACCTCTCTGTGGTTAAATAGCTTTGATACATTGTCCTCAGTTGATACAATAGCTGTGAGGATTGGTGGTCACTGCTGTGAGGGACCGAAAGGTTTACAGCCTGTGTTGAGGTTGTGCAGGTGCGATGTCTCCTCCACAGAAAGTGTTGAAACCTAGGGGAGAGAACAAGTTCGGAAAAGGTTTGAGCAACAAGTATTTTCTGTCTTTTTGAATTTTAGGAATGTCAGTCTCGTACCTCGGCCTCCTGTAGTTGATGAGTCAGCCTCTAATTTTCAGTGAATACTCCTCGAGGCATGGACAGACCATTCCTGTTGCATTCACAAAAAAAGGTTCAAGCTTACCTGTACCGTATAATTATGCAGTCAGCCACTAGTTATCCTAATGACTACAGCAGAAGTCATTGAGCTTGTTAAGAAACTGAAGTACAGAAATTCCAAACAAAAGAAATGTCAGTGTGTTGTGAATACTTAACGACCAATCACTGATCCACATTGAGGAAATTCTCCTTTGTTTTTATTCTGACTGATGGAGCTTAACTATTTGCTTTATTTTCTCAACATACAGTTTATAAGACTGAGTTTATTCCATCAACTTCAGTTCCACAGTCGATACAATATACATACGTTTTTTTAATTGGAGGTAGATTTCATATTAAGAGCTTTAGCTGCATATTGATAAGATGATAGTAGCTTTAATAATGTTAATGATAAAACTTGTTAGACAGTTAAATTTAGCTTGACTTATTTTTTTCTTAACTTATATTTTTTTAAACTCTTACGCTACGTGATGACATCATTGATATAATTATTATTGTGTGATGTCATCTAGCATCTTTCCTAGCAGGCTTTAGTCTAGTCTTTACTCCCCATTAAAAATAATGCAGCCAATCGCTGTTGACCACTGCTTGAACTGAAAGATGGACACATTTCCAGATCTGTACAATAGAGACCGAGACAAAAAAGATACTCGCTTTGTAAAATATCAGCCTGCGAATGTGAATGTGGAAGTTAGAAGTCAGAAATTGGTTATGACACAGTGTTTGAGTGAAAAATAACATGAACATACTGCTTGTGTCTGAAAGTGCTGTGGCTTATTAAACCCTGCAGGAATTACTTGCTTTCTTCAGACTTAAATTGAACACAATGATTCCTCGCCTTGTAATCAGAATAAATGCATTATATTTAGATATTTTTTCCCCCACAGTCAGTCTGTTGTTGGAGCAGCTGGTAAAGGAACAATGCAGAACAGACACCAGTGGACTAAACTTCACTGATAAGTTTCGTAGATTAACCTTAAATGTTATTATTTTATATTTTTATGTAAAAGTACAATTATCAGCCAATATTGTTATCCATTTTTTATTCAGTCCTCAAATATCATTATTAGTATCTGCCTCAAATGGTCAAGTATTGGTCTGGGTACAACAAATATCAAAGGCTTCAAGTTTAATCTCCATATACAGTATTTGTTCTACTGAGAGCTACACAATACACTGTAATATAGAGAAAAGTGAATCAATAGAAAACTGTATGACTTGAATTTTGTCACTCACTCGTTCTCCGCCCCAACAGAGCAGCGAGGATTTGATCCATGTATCCTGAATCAGATGAACATAAAATGTATCACAAAGCCTGAAAGCTGCGAGGCCATTACAGAAACAAACACTGAATACTTTCTTACTTTTCTTTGACATCTGGGCGTTTCTTTGACCTACAAAGAGAGTTAGGGGTTAGACGTCAGGAGCTGCAGTGTCAGTGAGAGTACTGTAAGGTGAAAAACTAACTCACTGTTTGGTTGAGCAGCACTTCTCCTCCCCATTAGACTCACAAAGGTGTCGTAGTCGATGTCATCAGATCTCTTCTCTACATCTTCACTAATGCAGCACTCTGGCTTAGCCTGGAAGCCAAAACAACAGCAACATCATCATTTGTTAGCCAGCTACAGTGACCTGCAGGACCAGGCCATAGCTCACATGACTTTGTAAATATCTTATAAATATAGCTAGTCTTACCTGTGACGTTGCTTTGTAGATGTCTTCCTTACACCAAGACCTCAGAGGAAAAAGGACGAGGATGACTAGAACGACCAGTGAAGCAACGGTGCAGCAGTTTGAAGTCCTCTCCATCACTCTGAAATGTGAACCAGTGCAGCAGATTTAAAGCAGACAATACCTGCACACAACCAGGCTGAGAGTTAATCTCCCTACAACACTATTATATATCAGTCAAACTGATTTCTATTGTCTCTGGTGTTTCAGTTTTTCGTTTACTAGCAAACGTTTTACCATCGTCACATACTATGCATAAAACATAGTTTTAGCAAAACATTTTGACTTTTTAGATTTTGTTTCATATAATCTGATGTTTCAGATATTTTTGTGTGAAACCTTAAAATGCGTTGTTTAGAGCATTTTCAGGTTTTATGTTTTTTTTGTGCTTTGCAGCGTCTTTTCAACTATTCTTGAAAACCTTCAACTCACAGATGTCTCACACAATGTAATTATCTAAGCAACACTTGTTTTTGAAGCTTTTGAACTATGAACCTCAAAGCTAAGGGAGTGCCTCTCAACCCTTCTATTAACTTCCATTTTAAGGGAGACCTGAAATTTACTGTTGAACACAGAAATTCTTGCTTTTTAAACATATGTGTGTTACACATGCATACAATACATATCTATAAAGCCTTCTGCTACTCTTGGGGAACAAATGTTGATAGGTGTTTAACTTTTTCAGCTGCACTCTACTGTGAGAACAGACATTTTATGTACCTCAGCTGTGAGTATACAGTATTTAGTTCATTATCCATTTATTTTAAATCTCAGCTGGAGTACAAACTCTGCTTCATAACTCAGTGTGCTCTGCCCAACGGGCCATACATTAGCTATTCTGAGGATAAAACGAATAAAGACTAAATGTTGGGTGGTTTCAAGCGTCCATTCACTCCCATGACATCTATAATTTAAGTGGTTTTCCGTTTTCTATCCATGCTATCAGCATAACATCCTGAAACAATCTCAGCCTCTTCTTCATCAAATGGTTGTCTTTTAATGCTCTTTAATTAAATCAGTCTCTAGCAACATGTGACTGTCCTGAGAGATATAAACTGCAGTAGCTAATGCAAAACAGTTTAAACTAATATTGTATCTTTTATAAGAAACATTGGTACAGGGTATAATATAAAATGTATCTGTAGCTACATTAACAGTCAGTCCCAAAATCACGCAAAGGTAACTGAACTATTTGTTGCAGCCAGATGTCCAACAGTCACACTTAAGATGAAAGCAGATTTGCCGTAATGTGACTCCACATATTAAGTAATTCTATAGACAGATTAAACACTTCATAATAAGGGTTGAAACCACATGTTTAAGTAATGCATAACTAATGGATGCAACAGCATACCAGCTTGATTAAAACCTATCATGATCATTTGTTAATGAAGAATTCATGATACCTCTGCTTTAATGAATACATTAATTCATCATGACGCATTAGTTAACTACATGTTTTGAATTACACAGTTTACACATTTGTTGTACAAACATACTTTTACAGAGCCTGGTATCTGATCTGAAGAGTTCAAAAATAACTCACTGGTTTTTTCATGGAGGGACTTTGCATAAAATATCCTTGTCCTTACCTTTCTGTCTGTGAAAAATAAAATATAACCTTTGACTTAAAAATAGACGATTTTTAAAGCTCCCCTTAATGTCTCAAAGTAGGTTTCCAGGGGAGCTTGTGTCCTTTTCAGGGAGCCGAGCTCCCCATAGCTCCCCCGTAATTCGAATCATGGTAAAGCATGTGTTTTGTACCCTTGTTATAAATGTAAAGTGCTACAAATGTTTAGCACTTATTAGGCCTAAAGTAAAATATAAAAAAGTGTTAAATTGGTCACCTTCCAACTAATTAATTCCAATTAAATGACTAAATTTTACTCAATTCACAGCAGGTTAGCTAAACATGCAAAAGTGCAATTTGTCTGCAGCCATGCGGACAATTCAAATAAGTTGATGAATCTCTAAATACTTGGGTTTAAAATGGAAAGAGAGTCTCAGAACCAAACTACATAGTTCTTTAGCCAAAGGATACTTCCAACACATTATTAGGAAATTATAACTAGGAAATAGTGGACCAATATTAAACAATAAAGTGCAACATAAATAAAATTGTTCAACACATTGGTGTTTTGTAGTGAACATTATAAACCAATCCTGATAATCAATTAATTAATCCAATAAATCATGTAAATATCACATGAGATTATATCATTGGAAAATATGCTGGTACAGTATCTTTACTAAACACAGTATAACTCATAAATCATCCTTAATCTCAATAATCCATTGCATATAATGAGGAATGAAAGAAGATATTACCTGTTGACAGTTTAATCTTGATCTGATCCAGCAGTACAAACCAGTGGTCTGTTCAACAGTTTACTGGTATTAAAGGCTGTCAAGTCAAATTCTGTCTTTCCGCTCAGCAGCCTCAATTATTATAGTCCTCCAGTTCATTTGTAATCCAATTAGAGCTCCACCCGCCACCCCTACACACACACAAACACACACACACACACACACACACACACACACACACACACAGTTAGTAAATTGTCTTATTTAATAACTGAAAGAGTCAACATGAGATTTTAGGATGCAGTTGTAATAATAATATAAGGAAAGGTCCTGTAATATTTTCACCTGTGATTATTGAATGAAATTAACATTAAAATTGTAGATTCTAACTGCACACAATACAAATGTATGTGTGTGTGTGTGTGTGTGTGTGTGTGTGTGTGTGTGTGTGTGTGTGTGTGTGTGTGTGTGTCCCAGGAGAAACTGAACATATAATGTGCCTGTGTGAGTGGACTGGACTTGGAAACAGCGTACGCCCTGCAGCGGATATTGCTGTTCAGTCTACACTGTCATTGACTGGTGTGTAAGAGCAGAGAGCCAAATAACTCCCACACTCTCTCAATCAATGAACACTCAAATGACAAGCGGAAGCCTTCTGACTGACCCCTTCTTTCCACAGACAAAAAGTCAAAAGTTGGATTACACCCACCTGGAATTCAAAACGTTGTATCTGAACAGCAACAACCCCTACATACTCTACTGAGCCATACTGTGTTTATGACAGCCAATACCACGGCAGGGTTTTGAACCAAACTTTTTTTGTTGTGGCTCATTTGCGTAAAACAGTTTTAGTTTGTAAAGAGTTAAACCTTCAATCTTTTCTTCCTCATTGATCGTATAAACCCTCTCTAATTGTCATTAGAATGTATTTAAAAAAGCTGCCTTTTCATCTGACTTAAGCACACACAGGAACTTGCATTTAAAGGATAATGAGACACTTAATTTCAGATTTCCTGATTGTCTTGAAGTTTTGAGTTTTATTAGGAAACTACATGTATCTGCTGTGGTTGAAGTTGTTGTTTAGGAGCACCCTGGCAAACTCGACATGGCCTCATTAAAGGTTCTCCGTGGAAATAGGATTAAGATCCTGTAGTTAGAGTTAAAAATTACTTTTTTTATGGCACTGCACTAGGGTAGCTCATCCTGGTTTATTGCCTCATTAAAGCTGCAGTTACGTGTTACTTTGTAGAAAGTTAATCTTTACAAAGTGTAAGAACAACAGCTTCCTTTTGCAGGTTGACAGGCGGTTTAATAATTAATTAATTTATTATTAATGTTTATGTAACCTGATTGGTTAATCACAATTAAAATCTAGAACAAAATGATGTCTGTGTGTTAATCCCAGAAGACTGAATCATTCACACTCACATTTGAGTGTGCAATCATGCTTCTTAGAGGCTTTGTAACCCACAAAACGAACTTGACAAACTGGTAGCACCACCTTTACATGTTAGGTGAAAATATTACCCTGGGGCAATAAGCTGTATTTAGTCGTTAAACACCTGCAGCAGTCTGTCTATTGTGTGATGGGGAGGTTCCAGGTACACAATGTACTCAATGTACACAAATGTGAATAACAGTAAATAGTTAGATAACAAGATTGTATTATTACTACCGCATATGTAATGACACTCAGCAGTGTAAACATGAACAAAACAAACCAAAGAAGTTATAAAGTAACCAAAGAATCAAATAGAGGACAAGAAATTACAGTCTGCCAACAGTTTAAGTACCTCAAGCAGACTGGGATCACATGACCTTTATATGGAGTTAAACTGTAGATGTTTTACATTTTCTTCTTTAAGGATTTATATCATCCATGTTACTAGATTGCAACCATAGTTATGTTATATTAGAGTAAAACAGAGTCAAGAACAGCTTCTTCTCAAAAGCAATAACCCCCCTGAACTCTCACATGCACTGCTCTTAGTTCAACCACCCCAACCCCCGGACTCTCTTCAGTCACTATTAGACACTGATAGTTACTGTGCAATACCATTCAATGTGCAATATTACACACCATAAATGGGCTATATATATATAATATATAATATATAATATACAATGTGCAATATATATATATCTTACACTGTCTATAGCACCGTATTTATTTGCAAATGTACACACTCCTCAGGCCTGCACACCCTACCTCCCTTTTGTATTATCTCTTCATGTCCTGTGTTTATATTGTATATACTTTGATAATTGTACTGTTTTTGGCACTGCAACTGGAGTTGGCTATTTAATCTCATCGTACATGTGTACAGTGACAATAACGGCATTCTATTCTATTCTAAATCCAAGTTGTACTTTCAGTGTCAATTCATATTTAGCAATTATTTGATGTAGGGTTTAAATAATTTTATAAATTTGGCACTAGGAACTTCCAAACACTATATAACAAAAACTAGGTGTGGAAAAAAACATTTTAGTTTACTGAAATAAAAATAAAAACTAGACTATAGGAAACTGAAAGGATATTGTGTACATACAAAACTAACTCAATAAAAATAGAAATAAACAGGTAATGTTTTAATTATTACAAATACTCCCATATTATAATATAAAAAACTAAAACTAATACTGAAACTGTTAAAAACTACACTAAAACAAAATATTTTTAAACAATAAAAACTTAAATGTAAATGCGGAAACCCACCCTGGAAACTAACTGAGACAAAACTGAAAATAAAATAAAAACAAGAAACTAACTAAACTAAAACTAAAACTATAATAAAATGTGTATTTTTAGTATATAAAAACACAGGACAGACTCAAACATGATCATTTCACTGGGATTATCAGCGTGATCAAGAATCACGAGGGTGACTCCCATCAAATGAGCTAATACTCTTCAAGACACAAACCCTGATGGCTAATCACACCACATCTGTGTGTAGCACTCACCTTGCATCAACACGTTCTGACGTTTAATTGGACTCTGGGTATCCATCAACCAGTGTCAATTTTACTCAGTTCCCCACAGAAATGACTGCGAAAACAGTGCTCCAATTAAGCATTATGAATCACACACCAACCAGCCGATTGTTCACTTAGTGAAACCGAGTGGGCTGCTTCCTTATGTCCAGCCTCACTGAGTAAAACAGATGAGAACAAACAGCATGCTAAGGGCCGTATCACCCAATATCTCCACATTTAACTCGTAGGCAGACCACACTTTTGCTTAAGCCTGTAATCTTAATGATTTTAACTTCTGTAGCAGAGGCCACTCCCTCCATCTCCAGCAGGGGCCAGTGGAGGAGCAGCATCTCCCCTCTTGTCAAAACCAACAGAGAAAGATTTTGTCCTGTATTGTATATCTGTATTTTTTTTTTCTGAGGTGGAGGTTTTAGCTGAAAGACAAACTGGAAGTATACTGCAGGATGATTCAGCACAGGCAAAGGATGATATTGGTTAGTGTCCTCTGTGGTAAAACATTGCTCTTGATAGCTGTGAAATCAAAGTATCTCAGCCAAACAAACACTATTAAGTACTTCTGTTGGTTTATAAAGCACTGAATGGTTTAGGACCTAAATACATCTGCTGCTACGTTATAAACCGTTCAGACCATGAGGTCTGTTCACTGTCCCCAGAGTCAAAACTAAACATTGAGAAGCAGCATTCAGTTCTTAAGCGCCACGTATCTGGAACAAACTCCCAGAAAACAAAGGTGTGCTCTTTTAAATCAGGTCCTTAAACTTTGAGCAGCACATAAGAAAGGTCACCCAACCTTGTTTTTATCAGTTCTGAAACATTTCACACATACAGTATGCTCAATTTTAATTACACAGATAAAGTCGAACATGATTTTATATCACCACGCCATACTGTGACTCTCTTCCTATCTGCCTAAATGCTCACTCAGTCTCACAACTGCAATTAATCCAGAACTCAGCAGCCATATTATTGACCAACTCAAGGAGGTCCTGTCATATCACCCCATTTTAGCAGCACTGCACTGGTAACCAATTAAGTTTAGTAATGAATTAAATTAAGTGTTCTTGTTTTGTATATGTTTTAATCTGGAAAGCACTGAGTGCTAAAGCTTGAAAAGTGCTTTACAAGTTAAAAACGTAAATATATATAACATATTTTTCTTCTTCTCATTATTATTATTATTATTATTATTATTATTATTATTATTATTATTATTATTATTATCATATCTTGTCTTAATGCCTTAATGAATTATTTGGTTTTTGAAAGGTACTACACAACTGAACTTGACTTAACTCAAAACACATATGACATAAGGGTAGGACCCAATGATTAGGTGCTCAACCATGTATTTGTAAATGATTGCTGAGTAATATGATATGCTTATATTCCTGGTCTGTACTTGAGACAATCATGTGATACACACACAGAAAGCAGCACAACAACAAAGGGTTAGGTGTTTACTCTTTGTAAAACACTGCTACCCAAAGACTTTGTATTCATATATCTGGTCATACATATGGCTATACATGTCACATTACACAAACTATAGCACTATATCTAGGTTGAGTTGTTGAGGGTCAGTTTCATAAGCCACAGCTTATATACATATACAGAATCCTGATTGTGAAGGGAAAAAAGTAATTGCTGATACAAAACTTTGACTACATCAACTACAATAACTAACCAGGACTTTCGTTCCACTATAGAGAATCTTTTTTGGTTACTGTGGCCCATTTGGTCTTGAATGAGCCTTGTGCTTTCCTGTTTAGAAAGGAGGAGAAAAAAACTCTAGAGTACTCTAATGGGATGAAGCCATTTCTGTGTGAAGGGAGAGAGTGTGTGTCTGTGTAAAAGAGAAAAAAAGAGCAGAAAGAAAGTGAGAGGAAGGGAGGTATAGTAGAAAAAGGGGGAAATTAATTTCTGCATGAGACTCAAAGACAAACAACATGATATACTGCACATCAAGCAAATAAGAAGTCAGCTTTTCTAAATAGAACTGCTCATTCAGTATGGACAATGACAACTCTTTGTTGTATTGTTGGCTTGTTTTTCTTTATGCTATGGTGTGTATAAAAAGATCAGAATGAAGACCTGAACACAAGCCATATTCACACAGCCTTCACTTACATTAAACAGCCTCATCCTGCATTAGAATAGTACACAGTTAAACAAAGAGCTAATAGAACAATGGCCAAACACATGATGCAATATTCACAGGACATATCATCTGTTTCATAGAAATCCTTTTACACAAACTTCCTAATTTGGGCTAATTGTACATCTGATCAGTTGTTCCTTACTGTTATTGTTAGGCATCAAATATAATATGAAATATCCATAAAATATGTCACTTAGTCAGTGAAAAGGGGTCCCTTAAGGAAAAAGGTTTGGAACCACTGTATTAGATGTATAAGGTCTAGATTTAAATTTTAAAAGATGCACATCCATCATCATAATGAGTCTCAGGTCACATTTATGTATCATTGCTGTCCAATTCTGTAGATTTAAAATTTCCCAATGTTCAAAATTGCACTACAAGCTTATTCAAAACCAAGTGGATGATTTGAGAAATGTATGGTCATAAGTCTGAAAGCAGGGCAGTTATCTCTTTTTTATTTTTTATTAAAAGTTGACTTTTTGGAAATCCGTGGCTTTCATAGGACAGTAACTGTATGCTCCAGGGCAAAGTCAGGCTATTCTGGGTCCTCTCATTGCCAAAGAGATGGACAATAATTTCTATAGTAAAAGGGGCTGTGAAAAATAAAAGAGAATAAAAGAAGTCCTTTTCTAAATAAATTAGTACAGGAATGGGATGTGTTGAGATGTAAAAATATATGGACAGTTAACAGATCTGCAGTAACAAAAATACATCAATTATGATCTGAAGTTTTTGTATATATATTCCACTTTTGTGAATGAGTTCTTTACCTCAGATAGCCCTCTGTTTTCCTCACTTGTCTTGGCTGTAAGAGATAAATTTGCTAACGGCATGAGGAAAGATTTCTTTCAAGTATCTGGGTCAAAAACAAAACCTACCGACTGAGAGAGAGGGAGCAGAGGGACAAGGGGGATGAGAGGATAGCAGGGCAGACAAACAAAACGGCTTAAGAACACATGGACTTTCCCCACGTGAATCAATATTCAAGCCCTGATCTCCCTGTTGAGCAATGAGGCCAAAGAGAAGAGGGAGCTGAAAGACAGATGAGACAGAGGGAGGGCTGTGGGATGTCATGTGTAAAGAAGGAGATTCTCATTGGAGGCAAAGAGAAAGAAGATTGCTATGCATGTTTTGAGAAGAAAAGAGGAAAAAGGAAAACAAAAAAAGCATCCTGCATGCTGAAGCCATCTTGGTCGCACTGCTGCACTCTGGACTCCAGATCTGACCGATATTAAGGTAGGTGCTGGACACAAAGCTACCACAGGATCAAAAGAGGCAATGAAATTATGAAGTTGTGGGTGGAACAACATTTCTATTTTTAGTTGTAGTCAGTGCAGGAAAAAGAGGAGCTGTATAAATGTTTCAGCTCAGTGTGGAGGCTCTGTATTGGGATTATCTGTGTTGCTTAGAAATTTTAAAAACATAACAAAATATAGATTTTTTTGTTGATTTTAGAGTGTGCCACTGTTTTACCAATGTTGTTGACTCTGAAGTCTTAATGGGACAAACTTTTTCATCAATGTTTTTGATTTTAAAATGCCTACTCATGTCATGAACTTATTTTACTCCACATTGGGATTTTATGCAGACAGAATGGAATAAAAATCTTAAATCCTACAATGCAGAAAAATTATTCATTGTGGTAGCAGAAAAAATACTAAATAAAAATGTATGAATCATTTAATATGTTTTACAGATAAACATGTGTAACAGGTCTTAAACGCTGGCTAGATACAAGCCTACTAATTAATTAAAAACCTTTATGTTTATTCAGTATGGACAATGAGAACTAATTTGTCGTGTTGTTGGCTTGTTTTTCTTTATGCTCCTGTGTTTGATGTAGTGGCTTTGGGAAAAAGCATTAACAAGAGCGGAAAGATGTCCTCCAAGTTGAAGTGGCTGATTGTGATCCAGTTCCTGCTGAATGAACAGGCTCTGTGCAGGGTCCCACCTCCTCTGGCACTGAGAAACACTCTGCTCCCAGGAACTGACTTCCATGGAGAGACAGCCAAACAGGATCATCAGTCTATCCTGGAATCCCAACCCCAGCTCCCATCTGCAGAAAAACCTGGTCCTGTATCAGTGGTTGCACAAAAAGAGGAGAGAGTCCGATCTGCCAAACATATAATATCAGACCTCAGGGCAAAGCTTCAGAGTCAGATTCAAGATCATCTCCACATTCAGGGTAACGTCAGCTGTGAGGAGCTGCTGTCTGCCAGCACCGTGGACGACCCATCCTCCGCCATATTCCCCCAGGAGCTGCTGGGTCTCTCTTTAGTGCCTGTGTTGGTGGTGGTAGGCTGCCCACAGGAGGCGAAGACCCTGGTGCTCAAGCTGTATGACCTGCTGGGAGTGGCGGATACAGAGGAGCTCCTGATGGAGGTGGAGGGTCTGATAGAGAGGAGGATGAGCAAGTCTGCATCTACACCTGCACCTGCATCAGCAGCATCGCCTTCAGAGAGGGATCAAGCAGGGCGCCACATAGAGGCTGTGATGTTTAACATCCAGCAGCTGGCCATGGTGGGAGAAGGTACCTCCAAGCAGGAAGGGTATTGTGACGGCTGGACCAGGGTGAATGGCACCATGCTGGTAGGAACAGCAGTGGAAGGAGGCACAGGTGATGTAGAGGAGGCTGTGAGCACCTGCGAGAGACTGGGAGTCCTGTGTGCTGGTGTGACCAGCAGTGGACTACTCAAACCTGGGAAGTACCAGGCAGTGTTTAAGAAAGGTAGTCGCATCCTGCCCGCTGAATCCACAGAGTATGAATGCTGGATCCGTCAGTGCAGTGAAGAGGAGGATGTTTTGATCTCCACAGCTTCAGGTCGACGGATGAAGCGAAGCCCCCAGAGGAGCTGCATCAACAAAAGCGAGGAACGCGTGTACAACGTTGTGGAGTGGATCCCTGCGGTCAGCACCCTCTACAACCTCGGCACAGCTGTGTATTACGCCTCAGT